TGCATAGTTAATACTATTGAAATAAAGGTATTTATGGTTTTGAACCTGTTGGGAGTTCAAGTTGATGCTACATTAGTTATTTAAGTTGCGACTTCTGCATTAATTATTTCTATAAAATTTATCTCATTAGGTGGATACTCAAATGGTTTCTCGGCCCAGGGTTCTCAGTCTGATGGAGATTCTGTGAATGCAACAGTTGGTTATTCTGCCCGTTTCTTTTTATGTTATCTAATGCTGCTTTTTGTGTTTTTTTTAAGAACCTGTAAATTTTCCTAGATTTTTGTTGGGGGACTTGACCCTAACGTTACTGATGAGGATCTGAGGCAGCCATTTTCGCAGTATGGCGAAATAGTGTCGGTCAAAATACCAGCTGGAAAAGGATGTGGTTTCGTTCAATTTGCAAACAGGTATATAATCTAGTCATTCAAATTTTTACTCTGTTAGATATATAATTTGATGAACCGAAAACCTTAATACGACAGGATTGATGCCGAAGAGGCCTTGCAGCAGTTAAGTGGTACAACAATAGGGAAGCAAACTGTCCGTCTATCTTGGGGACGTAACCCGGCTAACAAACAGGCAAATATTATTTTCCCCATTATCTTAATTTCTGTATTGTTAGATGTAGCAATTTGTAGGCGAAAGAAATTAGTTTTTTTAGTGCTTGGAAAAAAGCCAAGTTGTAATTATATTCGACATAATATATCAGAATTGGGAGTGAGCTTTGACTTGTAATCATGAATAAGCATGTCCACAACTTATTTATGGAGCACTCTGCTGGCTAACTATCTTTACCTTGAAGTAGATAAATCAACGACACCTCTGAACTAGTTGTTGCAAACACTATTTTTATTCACTATTTTCCGTAATTTGCAGTGGAGATCTCATTTTGGACACCCATGGACTGGCGCCTTCTATGGCCTGCCTTTCTTTGACAGCTATGGATACAATGTGCCGCCTCCCCATGACCCAAGCGTGTATACAAAGGCATACGGCCCATACCCTATATACGGGACACACCAACAGCAAGTAAGCTGAATGCACAAGATAACCAAAGGAAAATCAAACTGGAGTTAGCATCACATGCTTCCACTAATTGAATGTTGTGTGCTTGGTGTATAAATACTATAAGGATCCGTGGCCTGAATTGTGGGGCGGAAATGAATTTTGACATTAAAATTAGGAAAAGGTTAGTTCTCTATCCTTAGGACATTACATCCAGTGAACATTTGTTTAGACTTGTGATAGTGCACGCGCCACGCAACCTCATGGATTGGAATAAACGATTTACCAAGGATATTAATTACACAATTGATGTGTTTTTATCGTTTTTGTTTATGATGTCTAAATACTGACTTGTTGTGCATTTACTAATTGGGGTGTTTGATTCCAGTTTAACGGTTTGGACCGACTTCTTGTGCATATACGAACTGGGGTGTTTGATTCCAGGTTGTTGAATCTTGTTCGAAAATGAGTATGTGTCTTCAATATTTTCTTCTTCAATTGATAGGTTTAAGGCGAATTTACAAACTTACGCAAACATAAAATCTATTTGTATGAATACATATAGTACTTATCACTCTTGAGAGGCGATATTCCAGTGTCGTGGCAAAATCAGCATCCTGCTTTCCTCCTTCCTCAGCATTGGGGTTTTAATCATGTTTAATCATGTATGACTTCTCTCTTCCTTCTATAGTGTCGTTGGGGTTTTAATCATGTTTAATCATGTATGACTTCTCTCTTCCTTCTATAGTGTCGCGCCTATCGAGTTCTGAAAGTTGGGTAGTTTAGCTACTTTAGGGTTTTTATTCCTTTCCTTTGTAGTTTTTTCTCTCCCATGGGTGTTGTCTGTGTGTGGTGTAGGGTTTCCCTTCTCTTTCCAGTGAGCCAAGTTTAGAGTTCATTGAAGAAGACTGATATGGGATATTGTATACTAGACCGGTTCGTTGGGCTAACCGGAGAAAATAGGCCGGTTCGTCGGATTACCTAAATAAGAACGGGTCGAATGATATGATCGAGCAGGACCAGACGCCTGCAATGGAGGACAGAGAGCAGACAGCAGAGACTAATGAGATCAGAAGTGGTCGACAGATGCGAGTTACTCGAGGAGTTGGTCGAGGGAGGACGGTCGGATAGGGTGTGGTCGTACAGAATTGGTCGAATAGCGGAGCGCACAAGGGAATCCCCAGCACGTGAAAAGGGGGACACGCGGCGTTCTAAGAGCGGCTTATGGCTATAACGAACTTTGACATTCTCTGACAAATGGGACGCGTTTCCTGACATCAAGGATAGTGGAGACGCGCGGTTGTACGGACGAGCAGAGGACACCTGCCCGAACTCGCCCTACTCGCGCGTGTAGAACATGTAGCTCGCCCTTATAAATAGGGTCGAGAATCCTCACTTTAAACACAATCTCATATACTCTTACATTTTTTCCACACACTTATATTATTCCTCAAGATCTGACTTGAGCGTTGGAGGCTCTTCACCGGAAAACACCTCCGGTGTGGGAGTTTCGTGCAGGTTCCGCGTTCAACCGGCGAGGAGAAAAAGCTTGAGGCGATTTCCTGCCATTCGGGGTGCGAGACTTGTATTATTGGCGCCGTTTGTGACTCTCGTTCAAAAAGTTGTGTTCTGAGCTCAGCTATGGCGGACGGAGTTCCTCGAGTGAATTTGCAGTCGTCGTTTGATGAAGCGTGGACGACGACAAGACCGATGGGAGCAGGACCTCCACCTGGATTCTCCGGACCATCCCAAACACCGGTGACCCGAAGCCGATGCCCCAGAGTACAGCGATCCCGGGTGGTGGAGAAGGCACGAGCAGGGAGCACGAGGCTCGTGAAGCAGCACCGACGGCAGTCCTCACGCCGTTGCAAGCAGGCCCAGTTGTGACGCAACAGGTTGGACCAACGGTGCAGAAAATGGTGCCGCCAACAGGAGGAGCGCCGCAACCCCCTGCCTAACAAATGGTGACCATGACGAGAGAAGAAATGCAGAGGATGATGGCCAACGCGGCGGCACAGGCTGTGCAGCAGGTCACTCTCTAGACGTCCCAGCCTGCTACCACACCGACCACGATACCGGGAACACAAGAGGAGGACGTGTCGAGTTATGGCGGAGGAGGCGAGCACAGAGA